AAGTAGGAACATTTTCATTGCATACACCATATAAATCATGCAATATTTGTACAATATCTTGAAATTACAACTATTATTGTTTTGTAATTCTCCTATTATCCATCTTATTCACACGATTTATTATATTACTATCTTATTGATTAAGAATTTACACTACTACAAATCATTCTCACCTTTACTCACTGACCTTGCTAATTTACAATTAGTACAATTTCGAAATATTTATGGCATAACAGATGCAAACGTTCACTAATTTCATAATATATCATTGTCAAATTCATTAATGCAAGTCTTATTTTGTCCTTTGTAAAATATCATAATAATTATGGACGTTATTGAAAACAGTCGTGCACTCAAATACTTTTTGTTTTTGAAAAATGCATTTCTTCAAAATATTATTTCTGTTATGAAATTCAACCGCTTATTATAATATAAAAAAACAGTACAATTTCTATACTTCAGTTGATACCATGTTTCTGCACGAGTATAAAATGTTCATAGGTTCAGTTATTCACTTGTCGTACAATCATCAGTTTCCTTTTATTTTCTAAACAAAACAATCTAACTAATCTATCAGATCTAGCTAAATTCTATTGATCAAATAAATAGAGACATTAGAAAATTTATTTTCAATCATATATAAAGAAAAAGATATTTGTAGTAATCAAACGACTATCCTAATTATTCCATCTATTACATTCATTTTTCACAATAATGAATTATTACCTTGTCTCTTAATTGATTGACCACTGGGTGGCGACCAATGTCATGTGTGTCAGCTCCTTCTTAGGGCTGATTGAATGCTGTCAATCAAGTTGCGATGTGGCCACTAAATTAGGTGGCTCGACACTGCGTGCACTATGTTGAGATAAGATGGTGGTTGGAGGTGGTCAGCAGGAATCCCTGGACCCGGGTTTCGTGCTACTTGGCACTCATCAGCAAGGTGTAATTGTAATCTTGAGGGAACTGCTGCTCCTTGACGGATTCGATGCCGGTTTCACAGTCAGAAACGCTTCCACTGAGCTATTCGGGCCGCGAACGACCTCCTGTAGGACTGAGATGTAATCACAATTCATTGATCACTGGGTGGTAATCAGTATCATGGGTGTCAAGTACGTATATTGAATTAGAGGATTGTTACAACAAAATAAATTTAAATCTTTTACGCTGATCATTACATGAGACTGTGATGATGTTTATGTAGGCTTAGCGTTTACTGCTGCTACATTTACCACTGATTTCAGCTCATTCAAGGTTGAATATGTTAGATTACATGATTCATTAAAAAACGTCTAAGTATGATGTAATGATTGATGTGCAGGAAGAAGTATATTCAAGAAAGTGATTTTAAGTTGAAGCTACAAAATAATTTAAATTATCTTATCACTAAAGGGTTGTGGAGATCGTTGAGTTTTTTAAATTGATACCATGAAAGGATCAATGTAATACCAACAGTGAAAACCCGGAAACACTGGACGATTGTTTCTTGGGTAGTGCGCATTCTATCCCACATATGGGATTTGAACTTAGGACCTCCGACCTTGTGGGAGAACGCTTAACTCCTGGATTGCCAAGTTAGCATCAATCTCGTTTTCTATTTTTTACAGTTAAGTTAATATACCTTTAAAATGATTAAATAATTAGTTCTTCCATAGATCTGAATGAAATTTATTGTGCGATATTTATCTGGAATATAGTTTGTGATAATACTGCATTCTGCTTCCTGAGTTGTTAAATTGCACGTACACTTAAATTTAATACTGAATGACCATTCACTTCCACGATTATATATATGACAACAATAAATAATTACACAGGAACTATTTAATAAAGGAAGTAGTCAAGTAAATTAATTGCAAACTTCATTTCTACTCATATTCCAATAATACTGTGATCAAGATTCAGTCAAGCATTCATAATAGATTTTGATTTCCAATTATCAATGATGCAAAATAGCAGAGTTTATGTGATCGTGTGTGTAAAAAGTAATTTAATGAATGAATAAAAGAATAGTAGTGCATAGCTGCACATGATATCATTTTAATTTCTGTTTTTAGTAAAAACACCAAACAAGGTAGATTAATGGGGGTACATTGTTTTGTATTAGAAATTATTATAAACCAAATGTAATCGAATCCAAGAACACTTTGAAGCTACATTTGTTATACTTAACATATTTGTTATAAATGGTAAAGTATAAGAACTTGTAAATTTTGTCAAGTAATTATATAATAAAATAACATTGAAAAACATCACTGATATCATTTTATTGTATCTAGATTAATTAGTGAATTCAGCCGTCAACTTTCTGGAGACGAAGATATTTATCAAAGATGATTTGAAATGATTCAATCTGAACAACATTACCCGTAGAGGTGAGTTTTGTAGCTTATTGTTATGTAAATTTTAATTATATTTATATGAAAGTACAGTTTATGTTAACCACTTCATAGATGTAAATTTATATACTTGATCGAAGTCCATCGTTTAAAACTTGATTGATTTGTAGAAAAAAACATGAATACTTTGCGAATTAAATAAATAGTCCTATCGTTGAATGCATACTTTTGAATCCATTATCAACTAATGATTCTATATCTCGGCATTCAACATTTATTCAAATCACTAATTTCATTTCAGTCTTTCAGACAGATAATATTCAATTTTTTACCATTAAAAAGTTCATTGAATAATGTTTTACTGTCAGGAATTATTTATTTTAACTTAATTAACCTCAGATAATAATGTTAAACAAACAACTATACTAATCATTAATTTAACTGTAATGCGGATAGAACTAGAAAGGAAGGCCCAGGACAGAGTGAGTTGGAGAATGCTGGTCGGCGGCCGATGCTCCATTAGGAGTAACAGGCGTAAGTAAATACAATGTAAGTAAATGTTGTTTTCTACAACCGAAGTTATCAATTAAGCACTATATACTGAATGCTATTACATAAATTTCGAATAACAAGAAGTTTTATTCAAGTGATATCCATTAAATTGCAAATTATCCTGAAAGATTATTTTAAACTTGGTAGTTATAATGTCAAAATTCAGAAAAAAATTATGTTTTGTTACATTTTGTTGAATTTTATTGTTTACAACACTGAATGATCTTAGTTAAACAATTACTAAAAACCAGGAAGTACTAGATAACTATCTCGTTCAGTGTTTTCTAGTTATAAACGATTGTCTAACTATAGTTATTTAAAATGAAGAATAGCAGTTAGAATATTTTCGTCTGAACTGTCACTAAATGAGTAAACGGAAGAATTATCATTAGTGTTATTTCATGTTCCGAGCATTTATTTAATGCTTTAAAATGTAAATGCAAATAAACGTCATTTAAGAATTTTCTCATCTTTAAGTTTATATGTTTTTGTATGCTGTAACGTACACAACAAATACAATATCTCTCATCTCTATGTTTAATACTTAATGTAAGTTAAAAACAGGCAATTACCTTCCATTTAAATACAAACATTTAGACAATGACAAGTATCTAAAGACCAATCAATCGAAATAAGCTATCTTCCGGTTACTAGTATTTTGTATTAATGAGCATATGGTGTAATATATTCAAACATAATACATAGTTTTAATATGTTTAAAAATACATGATCAAGAGATTTTTGATCTTATACAAATCTGTACACAACAAATGAGAGAGATTTTATTACTTATTTCTTATTTTCAAATTTCTCAGTGTTAAATTTAGTGTTAAACTAAATGATACTGATTAGTTGTCATTACTGGTGTTTGAATGAAACAGTAAAAATTAGCTCAGGCTACTACTTAGACGAGTCCCAAATAGGACGAAACGCGCGTCCTGGATTCCACTGCTAGCCACTATCCATCTCTCTGCTTACAATACTTGTGAATTAAGGCTATATTGAGGCAATACGCACAGTATGCACATATGCCAATTAGAGACTGACCAGTTTTAGTCCTAACACATCGATGGGAAGATTCAAATAAACAATAGTAAATGAATTTATAATTTGAAAATGTTTTAAAAATTAACTTTAAACTATCACGGTTTCATTTATAACCAGTGACGAAATTATTGCTCTTCTGAAAAGACAAAACGGGTTCAAATAAAAATATGTATGCATAACTATAGGCAAATATTAAATTAAATTTTTAAAAAAGAAATAGAAACCTTCATCTTTGTTACCAAAAATCACGTTTCAGGTTATATCAATTATGAAATAAAACGGTCATTAAGTTAGAGGATTTTCTTTGTCATATTTATCCAATTTTATCACGTAGCCAAAAATATGCTTGAAACCATATGGGGAATTAAATTTGCAGAATAATTTTTGTATGACATCCAATTTAATTGGCTATATACATATGACCCGGTATCATTATATATATATAGTAAAATCTAATTTACAGTTATTCATTTTCATTTGGTGCTATTATCAGATGTTACTTCAGAATATGAATCACTCACTGAGAGAAAAAAAGACTCAATTTAACAGTTTGGATTTTAGTTGCCATCTGTTACCGGAACTTGGATACATAAGTTCGTAAAAATCAGTTACTTTTTAATTCAATATACAATAAGCAAAAAATATATATATTGTGACATATAAGACACGATACATTTAGTGTTTAGGAAAGTAAATAAATATATTATGTTTTACGTGGTTTTTAGTAAATGTTTATATTGGAAACGAACATATTAACAATAGACATGAGTTCTAGAGTAAACTTCATAAATTTATCATTTCAAATTCATAAATATGTTCCACTTTGTAGTACATAATTCGCCAGTACAAACAATAAAGGTGCTATCAAAATGAAAGTCTTCGGAAGGTAAAATCCGTTTCATTTTTATAAATTAATTAAGGTTAGTGATTGTAAAGAGTTGTACGCATGGTGTCCTCTAAATGTAAACCTGGTATTATCTTCCAAACACACGTTCCCAATAATTACTTAACTAAAGCAAAATAATTTTTCCCCAGTTACTTTATTACTGACAAAACAAAAATTTAGTGCTATATAATTTTATTTGATCTGTTATGTACATTATTACACCTTTTTCATAATGATTACAAAAGTAGTGCTTATTACATGTGACTAGTTTGAAGTAGAAAAAAGCAACAAAAAGAAATATGTATTAAATCAAACAAGAAAGAAATTTACAAAAGAAAAGAAAAAAATCTGTAAACACTGTCTTGTTACTTAGAAAAAAAATAAGAAGTTGATTCTTCGAGAATAAATAAAATTAGTTCAGTGTGGTTGGTGGTATTTATTTTATTTTGGATAAAATATTGTAGTGAGTTGCTTTGAAAAAATGTCTTTCTGCCTTGCATGTAAAAAGGACAAACATATTGAGAGAAACCTTTTAAGTAGATCACAATATACAAGTACAGAAAAAAGCATACAGTTTTATACAAAAAATGATCTCAATCATCGACCTATCTACATATGTATGCTTATATATATATATATATATATATATATATATATATATATACGTATGTATTATGAGCTTTATTCCATATGATGTCAGATTTTGAGATATGTAAAAAGTATGAAAAATAGAATCATGTTTCATCCATTTGACCTGAAATAGCGTTTCTGAAATTCTTTTGAGGTCTTCGACGTGGCCGTATAGGTACGGCACTTGTACATCTTTGATTTACAGACTTTCCTAACCATCTTGAAGTTGTATCATTACGTGTATAAGGTGAAGATACAACAATGCTTTGACGCTTACTTGATGAACTTGGTAGACCGTATTGAGCAGAATAGTGAACTGCACGTAATCGTGCATTAATATTACGACAGTGACACAGAAGTATCATTTTAAAAGGACCACGAAATTCACGATCGAATTTGGCATATATAAGTGGATTGAGAAAACTGTTCACGTAACCTGTCAACATAAAATATACGGACAATAAACATTTGATTGTGAGGATTGTATAAACATATTTATTTGCTATAAACCATCAAATTGAAGATATCTACAATAAACAAAATTATTATTTGCAAAACGTCAGCGTAAAAATTAGTGCCCTCAACAATACAAATCTATTTGATAGGAAGAAGTAATGACCGAATTTTGAAATTCTTGTTTATTTACTTTATTCACATTCTAAAACAGCTTAAGCAAACATTCCTAAACGTTTGTGAGATATACATGTGCATCAGATACAAACCTCTCGACAAAACTACCTAATAAATATATTGGAACTAGGTCTTGAGAAGGAAAAATACTCACGGCGAATAGAAAATTCGAAGTGAAAAGTGGTTTCTTCGAATGCTATATACTATGTTAAACGTTATTCACTGATTGTGATAATTTCTCACTTCACTACTTAAAACAGTTTTCAACATATCTTGGTGTTTACAATAGAATTCCATGTAACTCTATCTTGATTACTGTTATATTTTTGCCTATTGCAGAGAAAGTTTATGAAAGAAGCAAAGGTGATTATAAACGCTAAGGTTAACAATTTGTTGAATGAATTTGTCACAATAACCGGTTACAAATAATTTCACCAGAAGCACTATTAGTCACTGATAAAATTAAATTTGCTAAGCATATTAGATATTAGACCACATATGGGTAGTTGACTGACGGCCAGACACCTCAAGCGTAATTTATTCACCTAACAACAGCTTTTCTTTTGTACGATGAATTGTCATAGTATAAATCCACTTTAAGAAAACAAGGAAATGATACAATATCAACAAAGAACGTTATAACTAAGACCACAGGATTTTATGAATATATATATATATATATATATTGTCAGGTAAATCAGTGAACGGATGGATAGGTAGACAGTTCTATTGTGGTGTGCGCTACTTATATCGACATAAGTAGTATATATCATGAGTTGGGAATAGAATATCTGGCAGCAGAAGATTAAGAGGATCGGAAAGGAAAGAACAGAATCAGAAAGTGATCGGTGTGGCAATCCAGGAACAATGAAGCCAAGACAATGTGTGAACATTTTGCAAATGAACCATTCTATTTTATAAAGCAACTTTGTAATTTGTTCTAAATACATAATCAGTTATCCTCACCTGTGTTCTTCTTCAATAAGCTATTACGTAAACTGAGGGGATGCGAATGTCGTACACTTTAGCAAACTATGATTTTGACTATCGATTTACAAAGCGAATAATTTTTTGATTGCGCAGATTTATTTGAACCATTTCTTGTGAATGGATTACGAATCATAAGAGTAAAACGTTAATCTAATAGAGCATATGTTGAATGAACAGTTTAAAATTATGATACTCTAGGGATGGTGATTTTACTTTTGAACTGTTTTACTGATTATCGACAAGTAGATGACAATTAAAAGCTATAAATTCTTCATATAATTTGAACGGTCAGATCTCCGCTATTAATTTTCAGTAACATAACTAAATTTCGAAAGATCATTAGATAACAAATATATCACCACTTAATATAAATGTTCAAAGCTGTGTTTCTGAAAAAAATTGCATTTTACATGATTCATTATTGGATTTATATTTTTTGATTGTGTAAGGAATAACTCAAATAGACTATTTCCAATAGTTCTAGACGAAATCGATATCATTGTTAAACTGAGTTTCTTTAAGTGAAACTACTGATGTAAGTTAAATGTAGCGAAATTTTCTTCTACACGCTTATAACATTTTTTATACTGTTATAATTGATATTACAAAAGGATCGTTAATAATTCATGAGGATGAATGAGTCTGAATTTTTCAGATACATATTGATGAATTAATAGACAATCATTAGATGTGATTAGAAATGTTTTTCAATGAAGCTGTAAAAAGGTACAAGTGCATTTTACATTCATTTCGATCGACTTATAATTCCCAAATAAATAGTAATGTCTCATAAATGTTGAAAGCAAGTGATGTTTACAGCATGTGTACCTTGGTCAACAAGAGCAGGTGAACTGGTAGATGGGCGTAGGGGTGACCAAACGAGAGAGCTTATCTTTTGGGTATACGATGAGGAAGTTTCTGCTTGGTAACGTAAATCGCTGTTTTGTTGTAAATTACGCTTTTTCTAATTGCTGTGGTCAACGAATTTTTAAATATATAGGAATTTTGATAACCTTTACACGCTAGGTCCACTTAGAATATTCCTTTCAGACGTCATTTTCGATTTACTTATTCCAACTTCCTTTCATGTTATTCCCTACGAAGTAGCTTTAATAACAATTTTTAGCAAAATGTTTTCTGAAGAAATCAAGTTCTTCTACCTGTTCAGAACTACGGATCTTTTGTAAAGAGTTAAACGAAGAATAACTAGTGTCCCTTCGGTTTCTTTTTATCAAACCAAGCTATATGGTTACTTTTAGTGATCCGTTACTCTTCCATGCTTGTTGGAAACCGAGAAATGAGATTGAATGACCTACTGTATGTTTCGACGTGAAATGTATAGAACGATGGCGGTTATTGAAAGAATACAGAATGTTGATTTAGTGAAAACGCTCTTTATAAACGATGAAACTATCGTTTATTTACCTTCTGTACAATTTAAACCAGTCGATGTCAGAACTAAGCGGTTGACTTTGAAGTTAAAACATGGGGAAATTAAATAGAACTGAGCTCAATAGGGACCCCATTGTAAATTCTTTGTACAGGTTGATAGTAAATTTGTTTTTTCAGATTTATTTCGTTTGGTTTAAAAATGATCCAATATTCATTGAATAGTTATTTGAAGGGCTTGATTTTTCCTTAAATGTGTAATTTTGTGGTTTCATTTTACATAAATTAATAAGCCACATTGGAAATTTAAAACAAGTAGCTTGCTCCTATATAAATTACAGGTTGCATTAAATTAATACTTATATTGAACAGTTATAAATAGTTGGCTTAGCTATTCAGAATCAAACTAAATCGATAGCAACAAAGGGTAAAATATCAAGAAACAGTACTCAGCTTCATACTTCACTAGAACTACTATACACAGTTCAACAGTTTTAATTTTTTTTATGGGACGTCTCAGTAGCATTTAACAAAGATACTTTTATGAAAAATATCTCAATCAACTGTTGCTTACCAGAGAGTGAATTTGAGAAAACATTTTAGAGCTTCTAAGACAAAGAATTACTGACAGATTACAACCTTATCAAATTTGAGACATGCATTAACGGTAACGATAGATGACAATAGTGAGAGTTTAAGACAAGTATAATGTATGAATATAGGACTGTTATTGCCAATTCAATAGGGCAGGTATCTGTTCATCAAGAGACCCTGATTTGCATTTAATTGTGGAACATTTAATGTTCATAAAAACGATTAGTATAATAGTCTTCTAATGGAAAATATATATGTGGTCTACGTCTTATAGAATAAAATATAATAGATGATCAAGAAACTTTCACTCATATTTCAAATCAACTTACCTAACCATTGTAAAAATCGAAATACACTAACTGGAATCATGTTCACAGTGTTGTAACCAGCTGCACTTAAAAGGGCCAAAAGTAGCTAAAAAGAGGGAAATTTTTAAATTTCAACAGATAAATGTGAAACATTATACTTCGAAATGATTATAAAAGCAAATTATTTATTATTTTAGTATATCAGTAGCTGTTAAGTGTGTCACGGTAAAACAAAAGGCTGTCGCCAATAGAATGTAAAAACGATCAGGGTATTACTTAGCATCAGTATCCTATGAAATAAGAAATATCTAAATCACTCATAGATTATTTACAATCGAATGAAAAACATTATACAAAAACTTTTAAGCATAGTAACATTGAACAACTGTTAGCCGTATTTTTTCACAACTTATATATGATAACTTTCACCAAAAATAAACAAACTGGAGGAAAAAGCTGGTGGGATATTAAAGTCAGATTTAGTTTTCTAATAAAACGTTAGTGTGTTGCTCGGTTTTTTTATTTATTGTAGCTCAATAACCAATTAGATGTCCATTTATCCGATATCAAATCACACCTTTCGAAAGCAGCATCCATAAACATGTAATACTGTAAACAGTATTGAGTTTATAAATTATGACCTCACACAAAATTATGCTTCAATGAAGGGCATATGAAACTCCAGTTGGTTAATGAGTTACCCAAATTACTGTATATAAATTTCTAAGCACAGTAACAGTAATAGGTTGAAACAGGTTTATTTCAGGTAAGTGTAATCATATCAGAAGAGATTATTTTACATTAATAACTAGTCTTAAACATGCTTAAAAGAATATCAAATATTTTTCCACTGGATGATGAAATTCTTGGAAATGAGAATAAAAAAAACTATAAGATATTCATATAACTTATTTTGTACAGTCTTCATAATAAAAATTCTCCGTTAAATAACTTCAGACAAAGACTAGTATAATTATTTGGAAAACAACAATATTGTAATCAACTCGCTCTATGACATTAAAGTAAAAAAAATCCTGTTATCATAGTCTTGAATTTTTTATTTAAATATGTAGTGATCACATGAAAGCATTGAAGGGAAGTAATAATAGATGTACTTAAAAGAAAACTATATCATAGTACTTACGTTTATGAAGAAAAATAGTTGGTTTACGGGATAGCAAGATTTAGTCACATTTTGTTGTATTCATTATCAGCAACTGGTATTTTATTCAACCTTGGAACAATCATCTCAATTATAAATAAATGCATAATAAAATCAAAATATTATGTGTAAAAACTATGGTACTTCTTATGTAACTGTATGCTAACCAATGAAGTGTCAAATTTCGATTTGTTTTTTCTAACGAAAAACTGAACACAATAATTAAAATATCTGTCATAATATTCGTTTGGCTTCATAATGAGCATTTAAATCTGTTTTCATCTCAATATTACTTAAGGTCTCAGATTGAATCATTTTTTGTAGACATTTTTTCTGAATTCCGGTTGACTCAAAGAATGGATCGTTAAGTTTGATTATTGTAATGATATTCAGAAAAGTTAAGGTCAGAACTAGCTAACATATTTGTGTGATTTGTAAATGTATGTAATATATGAGAGAAATCTAAAATCAAGTATTCTCAAAGTCACATTAAAGTGTACAAAAATGTATGTAATGCATTCCTGTGCATTGGTAATATTTCTCAAATCCGACTTCAACACAGTGATTGAGACTACTTCTATCTTTTTTATTATCTCACCGCTAATTATAATGAGAGGTTGAGTTTCATAAAAAACGCTTTGCCGATAATGATTCCAGCAGAACTGAAAAAAATTATTTAAGTTAATACATTAAATACCAGTTATGATGATTAGAAATAATGAAATTGAATAAGTATCACTGTACGCAAACCGTAGCAAAAATATAACGAAAATTCACTAGGTAACGTAAAACGAATGTGTTGAAAATTAACCATATATTCACCTTCAATTTTCTTTGAATCTGTATTGATTTCCCTTCGCACATCGTTTTTTCGAGACTGTACATTCCAAACAGTTTACTTAGTAAGATAAGAGAACTAGAAATGTTGCAACAGGATTCATGTGTATCCACACACTTACTATGAAATATGTTGGTAGCAAATCATTTTCTAATGAATTTTTAACTCAAATTAAGTTAACCTTATCGTCGTCATTTTGTTCTTTCAGTATTTGTATATATGGTTAGGAATAAGTAGTTATTTTCATTTGAAAAAAAAGTGATTCAAATACAGTTTTTTGTGAGTGTGAATTTTTGTTCGTATCACTTTATAGATATGTCAGTGATGTATCAAGTGGAGACAGAAATAAAAATAACTTTCATCGATATAACTGATATGCAGTATTTCCTTTCAGATAGAGTTATTCAGTTGCACTGGCAATTTATATCATGAAATATAACTATTGATAAAATGAATGAGAACAGAATATTACACATTTAACATAAAATGGCCACTAGTCATACAAAGTACATTATATTCATACCATTTGGGTATTAGAGATGAGAATGATAAGTAGTATAGCTACATTACAGTTAATTAATTACGTAAAAAGAAAATATAAATATTCGCTGATGCATTCAATGTATACAGAACTGTTAAATTATAATGCATTTGTAAAATAAATAAGAGTGGTGACTCAAATGAAATAAAAAATTTATGAAGTGTAAAAATAGAAAACACAATATCAACTGTTTTGATGAAGGGAATATAGTTCTAATAAATAACTATTTATTCTATTAACAAGTATTATTAAGGTGTAGGAGAAACCTTTCACATTAATTTAGTTATAGCGATAAGAAATTATTAAGTTTCCTGAAGATTCTGGACCAAATCATTTTAGTGTATACTCAATATCAGTTAGTCTCAATTTGTCAGTTTCAGATGATTTTTGTGAAAAGTTTTTACAATCATATTTCATACACATTACTGTGAAGACCGTTGAGTAGAACTAGCCTCTAAATATTATGTAGTCAATATAACTAACACTAAAAAATTCGAAATTTAACCACTATTAGTAAGTGGATTACCAAACATTATATGCCTAGTAGTTAATTTTTACTTAAATGATCACAGTGACTAAATATTATTGAAACAGAACTAAGACATCAGATTGAAAGTAAAAGAAGAAGGACTGTGTTGCTGAATTCCATTAGAAATTCATAGATTACAGTAGTCAATCGCTGTTTACCGACAAAAGAAATTCTTCATGATATTTTTGTTAAAATTCGAGGTGTAATATGTAGTTTAAAAACAAGAGTGACCGAATGAATCTGCTCCAAGAAATTTCTGTACAAAATCCCAGTTAATTTATAGGAAAATAATAAAGTAATTCATGTAAATGGAAACAATACAGTAAAAGCGGATTTGGTAATCATTTTAATATGAAATCTATTGCCTTAAAGGTTTTGATCTGTCAACAATTTGATCTATCAGTGGTTAAAAAATATTCAGTATGACAATGGATAGTAAAAACATTAAGATAGAGACAGTACCTAAATCTAGATGCTTTCTTCTATCACTTTCCTTACAAATACTGGTTTTATAACACTAGATTACTTTTTTTATTTCCAGCCAAAAAGTAATAAGTATATTGTGCTGTTTTGTGCCATGTTCACTCCATTCATACATAACCTCATAATTCTCAACAACTGAGAAATACATAAAATATGTTCAAAAGAACTATTTGGACAATCCAGATATATTAGACACTTTCGAATTATATCATATGTAAAATTAAAGCCTAATAAACATGGGACAGTGTACTTAACAGCATTCAACTTCAGGATATCTCGTAAAAGAATAATAGATCAGGTTGTTGATATGTATCACTATATACTACATATTTGTAACATAGGAAGCAATAGATGTTCAACATAATCATTCAAAACACTAACAATGGACTTAGATTAGATATTTGATAACAAATAAAGAATGTTATCCTCGTATTACGATATCATTCTAACATTGTGGGAGGAATTCGTGAATAGAACATTTCTTGATACAAAGAAAAATATACAGATTAATGAAATTGATTTTAACTGTTAGTACTTTAGGGTTCATTTACAAACGCTTATCTAGAAAAATGAATAGTTTTCTAGTAAGATTACTTTATTTAAAACTGTAAAGATTAATTGAAAAAAGCAACTTCTGAATGATATTTGTAAACATATTCACTATTTTATTGACCTTATCCCATTAAGAAATATTTGATCATCTAAATCTACTTCATATGTCATGTTCAAGACAAACAATCAGATGTGGTATCAGAATAAAAGTAGTACAAAGTATTAGACATATGTATGTTTATGATAATAATGTAGTTGCACATTATGGCATAAACAGTTAAGATTAGGATTATAAAATTCTTCCTTTGAAATTTGATATACCAAATAAGATTATTAGTCACTTCAGTAGCAATCCATTGATTTGTACTTTACAAGTAACATCAATACAGTGTAAACATTTACTAAACTTTATATACATTTTGTTTTCCTCTTCAAAATAAAATAGAATAAAACAAGCTATACACTTTTATGATATAATATATATCCAGGGTATAGAAAGTTTATCAATAATGTCCGAATGGGATTTCTTTTCAAGTTATCCAACTTTATAACGATCGTTTGTTTGAATATTTTGTTCGATTAACTGCTTATTCTTAACAGCTAACTTGTAGCCATCAAGTTCTATTCATCATGTCTACCATTTATATACATGAAATACCTTATTTCTATATTTATTTTCGGTATTTCATTTGAACTGACTAGGTATCATTATCTAGCTTTTGTTTTTTTCGCCTTCAAATTGTCGGCTATATTCATAGTCAGTTTTCAGTGTGTACTAAATTTACTTAACATTTTTTATGGAGCAATATTTACATATAAATATCAAATAAGTGAAAAGGTAACCTTCTAGTGATAAAAAACAAGTTTCTTTGGAATGTAATAACAAAGGAACAAAAATTTGAACTTCTTCAGCCATTGATTGATAAATTGACAAAGGTTATAACAAAAGGAAACGAATAAATAAGCATTATAGAAAATTATTTAATACTATTTAATTCTAA